CGACAAGTTGCGGAACATTGCTCGCCATGTATGTTTATGTTCGTTCGTGATCGTCGTGGCGTCCACACTATGCTGTTGCCGTTCGTCCTGGTACGTTCATTTATGTTCATTCGTGTTCGTTCGTTAGGTGTGGCGCACCTTAAAAGCAAATTTTCACAAATCAACAATTTTTATAATTTAACTAGAAACTAGGTGGACTTCAATGGTTTAGTATGTTCATTAAAACCAATTACCCTATCGTTATACCAAGTAAATCGTCTAATTTTAATTTTAATAAACGTCAAAAAAAAAACTTCATTACTTTGATGAATTTTTAAAATTAAACTACTTATCGTATGGCTGTAATATTTCAGTAGGACCATGATATATATCACCAAAAAAAGTTCCATAAAAATCGGCTTAATTTTTTTTTCAACAGTTAATTACAAGAAAACGGCTCGGTAGATTTTTATCTAAATTCCCAACTAATATCTTTCGAACAGCTTTTGATTTTTCAAGGTTTCTCTTTTTTTTCAAATTATAAAGAAACGTCTCAGCCGATCGTCGCACAAAAACTCAGAAATGATAATCCTCATCGAGACACATCAAATGGCTTCTAAATTTCTGAAATCGGTTCAGGTGTTTTTGAGCAAACGTCGATGGAAGGTCTAATTTTTTTTTGTTTTGTTATAATTAATTTTTGTTAATCAACAATCAATAAGACATTAAAGTCTTATTTACAAAATTGATATGTGCTAGAAAAGAAATATAATACAAAATAATACAATAAATAAAAGTTAAAATTAAAATAAAATAAAAACAGTAATAAAAAATAATAACATAAATGAACTATGATAACATAAATGTGTAAATTTTGACAAATGCCAAAAAAACGATACTACTTTTTGCAAACTTGGACTAATATTTAAAATTAAACGACTTGTCGTAGGGCCGTAATATTTTAGTATGATCTAGAAGACTATAGTATCTAGTAGATACCATAGTCTTCTAGATCATACCAAAATATTACGGCCCTACAAGTATGGTAGATACTATCTACCATAAAAAAAAAATCTTGAAAAAAAATTAGCGAATCGGATTTTTTGATGAAAACATCAAAAATCATAACTCCTTCGGGAAAGTTAATAAATGATAATTCATTGTCTAAAAATGATTATATAATGATTTAATTATATTATATAAAAATAGCTTCTTTATATTATGAATTTAAACAAGCATTGAAGTGTTTCTCAGAAATTATATGTATATTTTAAGTTATTTTCCATTATATTATTAACGAAAAATGGGGGCTGTATGTTGTAGAAAACCATTCCATAGCTGAAAAACCACAACAGGGTTGAAGAAACATCATCATTGTTAGATGATTTTTGGATGAAAAATTATGAGAAACTAGCACAATAATTGACTTCATTCATTACTAATATTATATCATTCATTTAAGCATAGGCATAATTTGAAGATTTAATTTTTGTATATATAAACCGTTCCATACCATGCTTGATATTAATGAAAAAATTGGAAACAATCACAAATAACATAAAAAATTAACTTTCCAAAACCTAAAATTAATAACTAAGATTAACTTTCGAGTTTAATCAAATGAATCCTAATATAAAAAAATTGTTATCTTTACTTGAAAATTAACTGGAATGAAATATTGTATTCAAAATTAGAACATGATGTTATATGATCAACTGTCATTTTCTAATTTTCTAGAAACTGTCACGACTATAGTTTATAGTTGTCCATCTGTCCCATACATTAAACATTTCTCCACAGAAAAAACTGGGAAAACATTTCAACCATGTTTTATTATTTATTATATTTTATCTCAACTATCTTTATCCATGTTAGAGATGTAGTTCCTTCTTTTCAATTCTGCTTTTCAGTTATATTTAATTAACTTATCAATATTTTGGAAAAGAAATATAAAAGTAATTATTACAATTACTATATTAAACAAATTGTTTTATGTTTACATATACATCTTTCATGATATAATATTTTAACTCGGATATATTTTTTGACAAATACAGATTTTCATCAAAAATATTCCTTGATATTTTACTTAAGATAAAAAATATTTTTAAAAATTAAGCAGTAATAAATAGCAATAGTTCATCATAATATATGATATTACATTGTCTAAAAATGTCTCAAAACAATTATATGAAACTAAAAAAATTTGGTATTTAAAACAACATAAATCATTTGCATATATACATTTGATAGTCCTCAATCACAAAATAATGCAAAATATAGTGACGAAGGCAGAAAGACCCAAAAATATCATTCCAAAAATTTGATTTAAAATAGAACTTTACTGTGTGTCAGAAATGCTTTGCCTCCACGATGCGTGAAAAGGTATCTTTAAGATTCGAACTTTTGTTTGAGGAAGTGAACCATTCAATAATTTTTGTAATGCCTGTAATGTTAAAATTTCAACTTGTGGGGCCTCTGCTGCATTGCCACCTTCCTCTACTTTTTCTTCATTCTGTTGCAATAAACTCGGAACAGGCTTTAAAACAGGTATTGATTCTGCTAGAGGTTTCTTGTCTTTAATTTTGCTGTTCTCATATTGGTCTACAAAAAGCTCAGTTACTCTCAACAGCTCCAATGTTACACCCCAAACAAACTGAGTTAGACTTGAGGACAACTTAATTACTCCGCTTAGAACCATATGATTAGTTGTAGCTGACTGAGTAATATATGTCGGAATTATAAGCATTCTGAAAAATAATAATGCATTTAACAATTTTAAAAAATCATCATTGTTAATAACATTTGTATACAAACCTTTTAATATTTTTGCATAATGCTAAACTCTTATCAAATCCAGTTTTAATGTCAAAATTAACAAGTTCTAATTGTGTTATAGAAGGGAGTTTACTAACACATTCCAATATGCTGAATGTGTGGCAATTGCCTTGACCTTTCTCCAACCTAAGCCGTTCTAATTTTTGTAGCTTATTTAACACATTAGAACCAAAATCTTCTGGAAAATCATTACATTCTCCTAACTCAAGTGACTGAAGTTCTACCAGTTCTGCTATTGTGTCACAGCCATATTTTCCCAATTCTTTAACAGATGTTATTGATAAATGCCTCAAATTTTTTAAATCTTTTAAAGGTGACAAGTCCTTCTGAATTTCAAATCCTCCAGAAGATTTTAATCGCAATTCATGTAAATTTTTAAGAGTAGCAAATGGTGCTAAATCTAATTTATCATCTCTAATAGTGACTGCATTTATTGTTTCCATTTTGGGATTTGTCTCACACAGTTTTTCTATAATTCTTGCAGGACATCTACAAAAATCTATTGAAATAAGGGAATCAGCTAGACCTATGTTGTCCGAAAACTGTTTCCACATATCATCAGGATTAACAGAAGCGGGAATGAGCATTTTACGTAAATCTAAAAATTTTGTTTGATGTTTCTGAAGAGATTTAGCAAAACCGTGCCAGTCTCCCACTTGAGAATTTTTCATTCTCACAGTCTTCCATAATGATGGGCTGTTAGACATTTCATACCATAATCGACAAACACGACTTGCTCGGAGTAATTCCTATAAAAGATTAAATATAATATAGTTAATAATATAAGACTTCATATACATTTACTTTGGAAACGAATGGAGATTTTTAGATGCATAATTAAAATGTATAATCCATTTATAATAATAAACAAAACAATTTTTACCAATGCAATTGCATTTTAACAGGCATTGGTGTTTAATTACCAATAAATTGCTGTCAGTAAACTTTATGAACATTATATAATACAATTAATTCTTTGATTTGTTAACTTCCCTAAGGAGAAGTTTATGTTTTCTCGACGTTTCAAGCCATTGTGAATCGGATGAGACCAAATTTGGAAAAAGTATGTGTGTGTGTGCGTGTGTGTGTGCGTGTGCACCAACAGATTTTTTGCCGTAAAACGCCGTTTTTTCAAAAACGGCTGGACCGATTTCAAAAATTTAAAAGCCATTCGATGTATCTTGATGAGAACTATTGTTTGTCAGTTTTGTGCGACGATCGGCCAAGCCGTTTCTTTATAAATCGCAAAAAAGTGAAAAATATTTCGCTTACGTTTTAGCCCGCAATTCTGAATCGATTTTGAAAATTCATAAATCGTTCGAAAGATATGGGTTGGGAATCGTGCTGAGTAGTATTTGGTAGAGATCGGTCGGGCCGTTTCTTGTAATAAAGTGTTAAAAAAAATTTTTTTCGTCGGTTTTTAATTTTTTTTTGACGGTAGATACCATAGTCTTCTAGATCATACTAAAATATTAAGGCCCTACGACAACTCGTTTAGCTTTAAAAATTCGTCAAAGCTTGCATAAATTAGTATGGTCTTTTTGGCATTTGTCAAAATTAGAACTTTCATCGACGTTTGCTTTAAAACGTCTGAACCGATTTCAGAAATTTAAAAACCATTTGATGTATCTCGATGAGGATTATTGTTTGTCAGTTTGGTGCGACGATCGGCCGAGCCGTTTCTTTGTAATTTGGAAAATAGTGTTAAACTTTTTAAAAAATCGAAAACTGTTCAAAAGATATTAGCTGGGAATGATACTGATTAGTTTTAGGTGAAAATTTACCGAGCTGTTTTCTTGTAATTAACTGTTGAAAAAAAATTTTAAGCCGATTTTCATGGAACTTTTTTTGGCAATATGTATCATGGTCTTATAGAACTTACTGAAATATTACGGCCTTACAAGTAGTTTAATTTTAAAAATTCATCAAAGTTTGAAAAAATGAGTAGTTCTTTTGACATTTGTTAAAATTAAAATTAAACGATTTACTTGGTAAAACAATAGAGTACTTGGTCTTAATGAACATACTAAACAATTAAAGTCCTACAAAAAAGTGGCTCAATTATAAAAATTATTGATTTTTGAAAATTTGTTTTTAAAAAAATATCCGACCGGGTTCCATTTTCAATAATGTGTAATAAATCCACTTCGAATACTTTTAACTACTCATAAATTAATTTATGTAGCATGTATTAAGTTGAATATTTACACAAATCGGGAAGTTCATGTAACTTGCCTCAAGGCAAAATACCAATACCAACTAGTTTTTAGTTGCTATTGGTATTATATATATATATATATATATATATATATATATTCTAACATTGCAGATAAATCACATAATATCACAAATAAACGTAATAACTTAACAAGTTGTCGAAACTATGTATTTTATCAACGTGCACATACTTATACCATGGATTAATAATGTTTTCATATGTTATATTAAGATACAAAATTTTAAATTGATTGCCACTGAATGAAGGCTAAGATGCTAGCCGAAACGTATGAATTTAAAATAAATTTCTAAAAACTCTCATACTATATTTTTATTGATGTAATGCCCGACTTTTTAACTCAAATTAAATATATTAACATCAATTTTCAAAACTATCCCAATATATATATATATATATATATATATATATATCTATATATATAAAAGAGGATCGCCTTATGTGCTACCACTTATAACTCACGAACGGCTGACCGATTTAGATGAAAATTGGCAGGGAGGTAGTTTAGAGCCAGGAGAAGGACATAGGATACTTTTTATCCCTTTATTTCATTCTAATTTAAAATTAATTATTTATAAACTATCCATGTAGTTTATTCAATCTATGATACTATCAATGATTTCATCCATGACATTTACATTCGATTGTCAACTGTCATTCGGTGTTTCTGTTTTGATACAAATATATTAATATGCATTTCCTAATGACCATTATTTGAAAATTATTACGTGAATAATATAAATATTTTAATCGCCACGGAAAATTAATACAAAGTGGCAAATAAATTAATTCTTAATAATACCAAGCGATGCTAGATGGACGATGGGGAAATTTATTTCTTGAAAATGGAAATGTAATTATTTATATAATTAGGTATTTATGTATATTTGTTTATACGTATTTAAATAGAGTATTTGAGGTGTTTATATTATATATCAGCAATAAGTATAATCATCAACAAATTAATAACAAAAAATATTCTGAAATATAGTTTCTTGACATAACCTCAAAATTTGTAATATAAATGTAAATAGTTATACATTAATTGTTGTTAATTTGTAATTTCTTTATACATATCTTATAAAATGTTTCAGGTGTTTACAACTAATTGGCATATATATATTATCAGCAAATGTGCTTTGATTCGACAATAAAAAGGTCTAATTGAAGTAATCGACTACCTTAAGTTAACTATAGTGATAGAATATTAGTTTTTGGTTCTCATATATTATAACCCAGCTATAAACCTCACGGAGCCCCAGACCTTTCCAGCGAATGCAAAATTGTCGAATTCGGTTTGTGCATTCTGGAGTTATATTGTCAGAATTTATAACTCAAGAAGGCTGAACCGATTTAACTGAAAATTGGCTTTGGTAAAGTTGGTAAAAGTTGGTTCAGAGCCAGGAGAAGGACATAGGATACCTTTTATCCTGTTCGACTTGGAATAACAATAAGCAAATGACAGCTATGTAATCACGCATGGATGACAATTCAATATTTGTAAGGAATTAATAATAAAATTATTTATTTGAAATAAATAATTAACAATTATAATATAATGATAGTGCCATTGCCCATTCGTATAAACAGTGAAGCGAACTATGTATAACTCAGTATGGTTGACAAATCATATTTTTCTCAAACACAATGCTCTGAAAGAACTTATTTGTATAATTATGTACTCATTGGTATTTATAAAACCTTTTCTAGATTATTTAGATTTAGAACCTAAATTTGGAATCGATCAAAGGAACATTTTGTCGAATAGCTTATTTCCAGTTATAATTTTCTGAATTTATTCAAGAATGGATAGTAATATATGAAGATCCACGACCGAAGTGTCAAAAACCAGTAAAGCTAAGCATTGTTTAACAGCAGTATTTGAATGTAAAGGGAAAAATATGTATAATCAGCTATAACCTTGATTCTTATGACTTTGGTATTGGGAGATAAATGGTAATCTTTGAAAATCCATAGTAAAAGTATTTTCTTCCATTGGTAGTTTTCTAGCAATTAGTTGAAAATGTAATTATTTTGTAAAATACCTTTGAAATTAAAATATGACATTAGACCTGCTTGCCATCTGGCCGTTCCAAGTTACCCCGTTATAGGGTAAAAAGGTCTAGATAAATTTTTTTTTAAAGACAGCAAAAAAGCACGTTTTTACAATGATGAAGTAGCTGGTAGTTTTACTGAACGTAGTCAGATAATTGTTCATTTGAAATGTGTCATTTGTTGTGATGTAATTGGTTTGATTTTCATAATAAAATTTATATTTGCTTAAAGTCAAATTGGACCTTTGTGCCTTGCCCTGTTCTACATATATACTTTTTATTAAATTTACTTTTATTCATCGAATATTACTAGAAACTTTTCAAAAAGCAGGTCAAAAAGAGATACCTAAATCATTTTGTATCTCTCCTCGCAGAAATTTGAGAAATTTGTATAAGCTCAATAGTATTATTTACAATTATACACAAAATCCAGAATCCAAAAAAAATTTCAAAAAATTTGAAACGCATTCATTAATCGATTAAATGGAATTTGTAATGACTATATAAGTCGAAAGACCAACAAAGACTTGGATTGAATTATGCCATGTTTTCTATAGAAAGTGTATAAAACTTTCAGTTTGGTTGTATTAATAAAATATATACAAACTAATGGGGTTTATTGTTTCTATAATACCTCATTGTATATAGCAATACAAACAACACATCCTTACACAAAAAGTATTAATTTTTTAGATACTCTAGAAATTGTTTATAAAATAACTTACTTAGCAAAACAACGTTTGCCGGGTCAGCTAGTATATATATATATATATATTATATATGTATGCCTAACAAAATAATTGATCTTGTATGTTTTAAAATATGGAATTTTAAAAAATGTGTACAGAAAAGAAATATAAAGAACCACTTGAAAAACAACCCCTAACAATTAGTCTTTATATACTTTGAATTTATTTTTCATATTATTTTTGTTATATATTTTTAAATATATAACATAAAAAAAATTGTATCTCAATGGTACTGACCTGCACTTTTAAATATTGAAAGATCTTCAATAAAGCAAAATATCCTGCTGACACATTCAAACAGAAATGTTGAACAAATGGTGCATGTGACAGAGTAACCTGTTTATCAGAATCTGTCGATTTTTGTTCATCCTCAGAATTCGAAACTGCCTTATTTGAAGACCTTTCCGGATCCGCAGAGGGTCCAGTCTCATGCGGTACCTTTTTCTTTGAAGAATTTTCATCCGCAGATGTATTACTGAAAATATTGATACAAAAATATAACAAACATTGAAGTTGGCAAATTTAACATCATACTTTTATAAATATGCTCAAGTTATTTAAAGTAGCTATATAAAAAAACTTAAAAACTACTCATATGTTTATTACAAATATATTATATTTACACTATATGAAGGGTCATACTTTTATCCAAATCAGAGGATGGGATGAAGATAGGATTATTGGAAATTTTTAACATATGGCAATCCATCTGCAAATAAAACAAAATTAGTATATTCTCGATATATAATAAAATAAAAGTAATTTAAAGCAGAGTGTTAATAAGGATTAGCACATCTTAAGGGCCAGTTAAATGAATATATTTAAATCTAATAAATTTAAATTGTATCAAATAATATAAAACAATAATGATGTTAGAAACAAAGAATATAAGTGGAGGTTAATAATATAATAATTGGTATTTTGAATTTAGAACTTGTTAAATCAAGAAACAAATTCATATAATGACAAACATCAACTTCGAAACTCCATTGATATAAATTATAACAGAGGAAATGCCATTGTTAATATGCACTATATTACAAATAAATATTTATAAGCTCCTGATATATCTTGTGTGGCTAATATTTGGATAAAAGTTTGACAAATTTCAGCAAGTTTTATTTAACTGGCCCTCACTTAAAATATACTTTGCAAATATCACTATAAAATAGAACAAAATCTAAAAAAAAATTAACCTATATCAATATCATAAATAATAATGAATATTCTAAGCATAGTTTTGCAAAACCGCCACAATGAACCTTAAAGACTATTTCATAAATTACTATAACTTTATATTAATTTGAATCATGTATGTAAAAATATAAACTCACTCAGTGTGACTAAAACCACAATCATCTACGGAGGCATTCCCATTATTGTTAAGCAAATTAGAGGGAATATTATTATCAGGTATTGGATTTGGAACATTATCTGAATTCACCACCTTAGAAATATTTGTTATAGGATCTTTTATTTGATGTGGAATGTTTAAATTTGATGAGGATACGGTAGTAATACTTATACCACTTAAAGCATTCTCAGTAATTTTCATATCACCATTATCCACTATTTGGGCAGGAAAAACACTAAGCACATTGTGCTTTGGTACCACTATATACTTTTTGCCTGCACAATGCGCAATACCTTGGGTACAAGCAGTGGGATTAGTTTCAGTGATTGTTTGAGATTTTGACATTTGGATGCTAGAACTTGGTGGTAACCAAGTTGTAACTGAACCCAACAAACTTTTATGTCCATCATCAAATTTTTTATCGGAAGGCTGTAGTATATTATTAGATTTAGGAACATCTGTTGTAGTTACATTTTTATTATCTGCTATTAACTTAGGGTTAAGATTTTTATCACCAGGCCGTGGTATGCGCTGCAATTTTGGAGGTGAATCAGATGCAGGAAGGTGCGACTTGATTGATGTAATAGGAGTGAGTGGAGGAGGAGCGGGTTTGTTAGTTGAATGAATATTATCAGTCACCACAGTTGCAGTATCTTCTGCTGCCTTTTCAATACATTTCTGTGAACAAATAAGATCGTATTATATTTCATTTCGAAATAAAATTTGATTATATAATAAAAAATAAATAAGTGATGAAATCAGGAGATTAATAATATTACAATTTACAAAATCTTTAAAAAAAAACATCTTTAATACATACCATGCATTTAAAAGAGTTCAATTGATCTTCTTTCTTTATACCAATACATTCGTAATGATACAAACAGAGACATTGCTGGCATTGAAGTGTTGGTATCATGCCCATAGCCTTCAGACATTGAATTGAACATTGGTCTTTGACAGGATTTGTTGAAGATTGCACAAGTAACGTATCCAATCTATTTTCAACTTCTTTTTTCTTAGTTTCCACTATCACATCAGTGCTGCTACGTACAGTACTGTATAAGAAATTTTCTACCTAGTTTAAGCTATTGTTGTCAAATTCAAGGATGGAAAATTAAAGGAGATTGAATACAATTGGATAAATGTATGTAAACCCTGATATAAAAGATAAATAATAGGATGGTCCTTAATATGGAAATTTTTTAATTTCCTTGCTCTCCCAAGGGCTCAAATGGTTCCGAATTGATAAACAATTCTCTGAAAGTTTTAGCTTTTAATATTAACTTTTAGATAGTGCGTAATTCAAACTTCGTATGAAAATAGCATGAAAAAAATTTTGAAAATCAAAAAAAAATTTTAGGTATAAAATGAATTAAAAGTGAAAATTTGTGTCATTTTTTATTGAAAATTCGACGGTCTACAAAATTTGAGATTTTTTTTCATGCTATTTCCATACAAATCTTTGATTGAATTGCGCTCTATCTAAAAGATAATATTAAGAGCTAAAACTTTCAGAGAATTGTTTTTTATCAATTTGGAACCATTTGAGCCCTTGGGAGCAAGAAAATTCAAAAATGTCCATATTAAGGACCACTCTAATATATATATATATATATATATATATATATATATATATATATATATATATATATATATATATATATATATATATATGTATACATGTTGAAATATGTTAGAGAGCTCGAGAAGTTATATGCATATACTTTACTTTTTAACTGATGCTTTTTTCCCTGTGGACAGCTTTTTTGGTTTTTCTGATTTCTCAACAGATTGTTTAACAGGTTTCTCATTTGTAGCTGGCAAAGACTTCCTTTTCAATGACTTTGCATGTTTTATACCCAACGTTTTTGAAGCTGGACTTGAAAGTCGGGCATTTGTAAGTTTAACCTAAAATAAAATAATGCAAGTAATGATGTATCATATAGTAAATCATATTTCACAAATCATTTTATATTGAAAAAAATGTAACCATGGTATGACTATTTTGAGTATATCAAAGTATAAATATTATACAACTATGAATATCTGCATTTATATTAAACTGACGTGGTCACATACTTAAAATTATATACATATAAAATATGCTTGGGTATGTTCCAGATTTTAAGCCTATTGTATTACATTATACAACAAAATTTAATTCATTTATTCATATTTCACATGTTCACACTGTTCACATTCAAATCATAAATCAACTGATAATCAACTGAAATAGTAACATAAAAGATACAAACATTCTATAAAATTATAATTTGATGTATTCACGGCATCTCATGTACTCACTCATTTAAGGCATCACATTCATGACTAAAAACTACATAAAAGTTTAGTGAATAAATATTGTTAATTATTAGACTCAGATGATCGTAGCTACACAATTAACTCAACAATTGTGTGAAGAGATTGTGAATGCATAGATCAAATTGCAAACTTGCAAACTAGATGAGAGTAAATATGTTTCAGATGAGACCAGAACAATCTCTCATCTAATAATAATTAGATAAGATTTAAAATATAAACTATTATTAATAAAATTACCTTAAATGAAGACTTCGGTGATTTTTTTGGAGATACTTTAGGTTCCGGTTCGGGAGTAGGAGTGACAACTTCTTGCTTCATTGCAGGTGTAGGAGGAGGACTGACTCCTTTTGGCAATTTGGGTTTAGGTGTTCGTTTACCTATGGAGGAGGTACTACTAGGCGGTGCAACAGGAGTTGTAGGTGAATCTGCCCTTGAAGATAAACTTCCCCTCCCTTTAATATTTCGAGCATCGCTGAAAACAATTCACATACTATATATTATATATACACACAAACACACATTTATATATATATATATATATATATATATATCATAACCTTTAAAAAATTTCAATTAGTTTTGAAATCAATTGCAATAAATCATATTGAAGAAAAAAAACTGAAAACACATACTAGCCAAAGTTCAAAATGACAAAAATAGTAAAAATAATTAAGTTAAATTCAAGCAATGCATATGTACCGTATGATCTCCTTCGAAGGATCATTTAGACCAATGGGTTCCTTTGCAAAAGAAAAATTTTCCATAGTTAATCCATCACTCAAATGGTCTGCTATTTCACGAGTGGATCGTAGCTTTTTTCCAGATGGTGTGTAATAATAGATATCCCCTAGAAAATAAATGTAATAACCAAATTACATTTAAAAATCAGAAATGTAATAAACTGTAACTGTAACAAATGTAAGAACAAAATATTGCAATAACTTTTTAATGTGTTTAAATTCAAGAAATGCATACAATTCTGTACATTTTAACTTTACATGAAGTAAGTTTTGTAATCATCTAATAACCGAAATTAATTTTTTTTTGCATTTCTTCACATTTTGAAGGTTGAACATTTTGGCATACTTCAGAAAAAATGGATTTGTGTGTTTGTATGTACGTATGAATACAATTTTTCGTCTACGTTTTCTAGCGCACGGATCAACCGATTTGAATGGTTCATAAAACCTTCGATTCCTATTCATAAGGAGATGTGCTGATTAGTTTTTGGCAAAAGCAGGTTCAGCCGTTTTGGAGATAAGGAGCAAAGAGTGCAGAAATTAGAAATCGAGTTTTTGAGAGAAGGGAGCAACCGATTTGAATGATCCAAAAAGCATTCAATTCGTAATGATGGGGAGAAGTGGTAATTAGTTAGAAGCTAAATATGCAAAAAATAGCAGGTTTTGAGAGAACTAAGCATCGGATTTGAATGTTTCAGAAAACATTCTGCTTATGATGACGAAACGATTGCTTTTGGGAAAAGAATTTTTTTTTTTAACTTTTTTTTAATTCAAAAAAAATTTTTTTTTAATGTTAAAAATAATTCAGATTTCAATTTTAATTCTAGCTAAAGTTCTAAAGCTCACTTATATATTTCAAATAAATAATTTCAACTTTGCAATTCAGTTTAAATAATTCTTATAAATATTGGACAATGTTCTTCATTTTGAATTCAATTGAAAAAGTTTCGTTTATTTACTTTCATGTAAACATATATAAGTTACATTATTTATAATAATCTATTTGAAAACATTATCACTTGAATATTTCATTATGTTGCAGGAAGTTCCAGCAACTTGCCTTAAGGAAGGATGCCATACACAACTAGTTATGTTAATGTGATTGCTAGACCATTATCAACACTACACAAACTGAATGAAAATATTTACTCGTAAATAAATGAGCAGTTTTAATAGTAATATGCTGAAGTCAAAATTAACTCAAAAACAAAAGCCACTCTATATACACATTGAATTTATAATTCTCAAAAATTGTTACGATTCTCAGAAATATAATATTTTTGGTATATCATTTAGAGTAATAAGTAATGATCACTAAATCTGCGATAAAAAATTTAATGTAATCACTATTTGGACTAACTGTTAAATTCAACCAAAAATCACTTTCATGGTTACAGATTGGAATCCAATATCACTTGATAAGCGAAAGGATAATTTAGTAGAATCTTTTCAGTAATTTTGAGGTAAGGATATTTGTGACCAACTACTTGTTCATTATAAAATGCAATATACATAATTTGTTAAAATGAGAAAAATATAAACCTCAATAAAAAAAATTCATAACTACGAAATAGATTATATAATTTATGGTATAAATTTACCTTGACGTCTGTTTTTACTATCAAGAGTGGCTCTAAATACTAGTTCTCGTTTCCAGCCTAAAGCCATAGGTTCTCTAAGCAATGGATTAGACAAATCCGTTTTTGATTTGGCCTTATTCTGAGCAGGAGAATCTGTACCAGTTCCATCATCTGATTTTATGGACATTTGAGAAGATGGTCTTCTGGTTGCATCAACCGTATCTGGCACCATCTCCTACAATAATAAGTTCACAATCATATATAAACAATTTCAGAACCATATATTCACCAGAGAAATAAAATGCAAAGTAACAACGTAAAATGACGAAACATTGCACAAAAATCCAATTCAATTAATTCGAAATAATTTCACTCACCTCATCCTCTGGTTCTTGCTTTATAACCACTTTATCAGTCGCTGATTTGGGAGCTGGTGATTCATCATCATAAGCTGTTTTAGGTTTCTTTGGGCGAACTTTCCTTCCACTTTTTCGAGTATGTCCATCAACAGATGAATCATTAAGCGGCTCAGTATCTGAAACTTAAAATCAGACAAATAATGTATTTTATATATTTACAAATTCCCTTGCAATCCAGGCATGGTCAAAAACTCTTCATTACCAATTAATGGCTAACACGAAGAAGTTAAACTGAATTGAACACATGTGAATATTGTTAGTGAGATTCCAAATATAGTTTTTGATTTTTATTTATTGTTCAAAATTTATTGAAACAAACCTTGTTTGTCATCTTGACTAGGCACTTCTACTTCATTTGTATCAATAGCTTCCTCTAACGATTCTGATGCCTTTCTCTTAAGATTTTTTGAATTGCTGATAACTTCTTCACTGGAACTAGCCTCCTCGACGACACTATTTGAGTCGGGATTATCACTTTCATTTTTCTCCGTAATCATTTGGTTCGCCGATTCATTAGATTCAGAAGTTTCTTGAGCTTCACCATTCAATGCAATGGCGTCGTCTAACTTAGCCTTACTTTTACGAGAGGTAACCTTTCCCGCCATATTAATAATTTATTACCGCTATTGTGTTTTCTTAAATTATCACTGAACAACTTATTCAGTGTAACATGACATCATTTAAAAGTACACCAAATATATTATCATGTTATTACGTTTTATTTCAACATCTGCGGTGATTACACGTCCGCGTACACACTTAAAGTTTTAACAAGTACTTCGAATATAAATAAACTTATTCATAAAATAAATTTACAACATCTTTCAGCTCACATTTAAATCATCGCAACGTTATAAAAACAGAATATTTGATCTAGGTTTAGAACGCGCGTCACCACAAACTAATTATCTAGAAAATGGCCGTCAACAAAAATAAACTATCATAACCCCAATTTACAATTCTAGGGGATTGAAAATCACACATGGCAATATTTTACTGCATTTGCCATCTATTGAGGGGAATAGGAAACAATAAAGATGATGGTCCTAGATAATATGATAATTATGATAAGAATCTAATAGTGTAGAACCTCGATACTCTTCTTTTATCTAGCCCAACACTTTGCCTCAAAATAAAAATAATTATTTTGCACTTACCTAAATCACAAAAAAAACCCTTTAACTTTAAATCTATTTAAATTGAAGAATTGAGGAAACTTGTTCAACCAAGTCTCAGACAACACAGACTGTTGGTTTCATAGATAAAAGAAGAGTTGGTTTATTTATGGTTAGTTGGTTTATTTTAAAAATATTTACAACCGAAATTAAACATAGAGCATAGAACATATTTTATATAGGCCGGTAACATAGCTTTTTGTATAACATCAGCAGTTAAGTTTGTTTCCTCTCTATTTCTATTATCAGGATTTTTTTATCAATTCATAATATATATATATATATATATATATACGAGTATACATCGTTTATATATACATATATATATATATATATATAATATATACAGTTTAGTTTTCTTTCTGGATTGTTACTATCTGGACATATATATACTCTTCTTTATCTATGCCCCAATTTCGACCTCAGTTTACGGATTTGCGATTATCCGGACTACTAGCCTCTACAGGTTATATGTATGTACATCTACAATTCGAATTTTTCACGATTTATGCTGCAGTTTAGTATATGTATGTAATATAATCGAAGAAAATATATATGTACAATGACATACATAAGATGTTATTTCTTATTAAACATTCATTGATATCTATGTATGTATTTGTTATTTTTGATAAATACACATCAATATTCTTCATATTTTGGATTATCTGGATTTTTGATTATCCGGATGCCTATCGACAACAATTAGTCCACCTAGGTTAATCGAGGTTTTGCTGTATAGTATTGCATTGGCATATTATTGAATAGACAGTATTGGAACATATATATTCATAGATAATAAAGTGTATAATGAAATAATACTTTGAACCCTAGCAAAACAATAATATGCCTTCAACATAAATATATATATATAATATATATATATATATATATAATATTCATTGATTTATATGCTTAAAAATGTCATCACTTCTCACTCTAACCAGGGGTTTACATATTATAATAATTTTTAACGTAATATTAAATCTTTCATCTTCCAATATTATAAATAATTTTAACATACTATTGCAAATATATGGTGAATAATATAAAATATCTCAGGATATAAATCATTTTAATATAAAATATAAATTAAAATACAAATTAGCAACGGGAGTAAATTTATTATTTTTTAAAATACTGAATATATAATACAACAACAACATTTTAAATAAAACTATTAAAATAAAAACCAAAATAAAACATTTTGGAATGCATCAATTATTTACATGAATTACAATATTACAATTTCTTGAAACTAAACAATTACAAATTTATCATTATGATTTGCATGATTAAATTATTGCCACTCAATATAATATACGTTCATGTACATTTTAATCAATAGCTTATACATTTTTAACATTGTAAAGAGTATATTATCAAAAAATTGATATACAATACTCCTTCAAATTTTGTTAACGATCTTGAGTTATGCAAAATTTTTAGAAAAGTAAATCATCATCACCTTCATCTAATATATTTGCAACATCTCTGACATCCGTTCCTTGTTCGAGCAGATCTGCTTTAGCCTTTTCGGCTTTTGATTAGCAATCGTTTCTTATCTTGATTTTTCTTAAGACGATAAAATTCTTCTCTTTCGAGTTCATCCAATTCAGATATAATGTATGCCAGAGTGCGCTCAATTCGAGGAATGATCACTTTAAATATAATGTTTTAACAGTTTTAACAATGTCATTTTATGTATATTGGTTTTTAGGTATATGTAAAAATAGTTGAATTTGATGTTGAAATATATGATTAAATTCTTAGAGGGTGGTGTAACATCAATTTGAAAAAATTAAAGTGAAGATTACATTTTTATTGTTCCTTTGATACTGTCAAATAGTGCAATGTTGCTATTAATAATTACTTATATTTTTTATTATTATGTGCTAGTTTTATTCTAATAAGATCATGTAAAAACTGTCTTTGTAATATTTTGATTGATTTCGTTAATTTAAAGAGCTTGAGAGGAAGTTAACTTGAAATTCAAGATGTCATTTAGTTTTATTCTATTTTCATTACTTCCAAATTGTAGATCCACTGATAATTTCTTTTTTTTTTACTTGGTGTTATGCCCTCCAGGAATTAATCATTTATAATATATATATATAACTTAATATGTTTATACCATGTTCAATTGCGTTTACTCTCTATTTGTGATCTTGATCACTTCATCCAAGTAACAAATGATTTTGTAGAGATGCAAGTTCTACAAGTAACTTGACTGCACTTTGATAATTCTCTTAAGTTTTGTAAGTTGTTGTCCTCCCCTTGCCAAACCAGCCAGCTCATATGTATCGGATCCATCTTGATAAGATTCAAATCTGTATGCCAATTCAAAACAACAAGTTAGTTCTAAAATAGGTTTCAGAGCTATCTAAGCAGTCGTAAATT